TCATAGCATTTGCAAAACTTTGTTGAAATAGGGCATCATTGGCAGCCAATCTTGAGACCAGAGGAGCACTTACTTATCCAAGGCAAGTTCTTGATCGATCTGCATGATCCCTTTCCTAGACTTTATTTGATTATAGAACTGCTTATCAACAATGAAGGATGTATTCTGGTCCAAAAAAACTGTTGGATCCCTATTCAATGGCCTGGATTGTGTACCACAGATCCTCAGGAGTCTAGCAGCCAATGCAGGGTCCATAGTAGGATCAGGTTTCCCTCTGCCCTGAAAATCAGAGAGCCGGTCTCGGAAGAAACCGCAATGTGCAACTCCAACTGTATGTGCACCCAAAAGGACCACCATGTCATTGAGTGTTAGCCCTTTGGCGGTGAAGAATTGTGCTGCATCTGATATGGAAAGGCTAGGTCCTGGCAGATTTACTTCGGAGGAGTCGGAAACTTGCCCGTCTCGCCTGCCTGTTGGCACATTATAAGCAGGGCCACCGGCTAATGCGACTGCATCGCGGGTTGCTAATGTTATGATATCGGCACAGGAGACAGATGAAGGGCAAGCAGCCTCTAGATTTCTCTTGGCTTCGTCAATTAGCTCAAATCCTCTTACGGTTAGGTTTGGTCCGGCATCTTTCTCCGATGACTTGGACTTGGTGGAATCTATCAATATTGATGCATCACAACCCTGCATCCAATATGAAATGTGAATTCGCGTTGAAAATGTCCTGCATGTACAGCTACCTGCCATCTATTACTTAATTTCCTTTAATTGTATGCCCATCAAAAACCTTGTAAAAACTTCATTGTGGCATAAAGTTGCAAAAAAAAAAAAAAAAAAATAGATTTTGATGGATAAAATTCCAGTTGCCTAACCAAAAAAAAAAAAAAGAAAAGATTACCATGCAAAATGACTATATCCGAAAAGGGTCCAAGGAAATTCCTCTTGAAATAGTTGGAAATCCCTCAAGTTCCATTTGTTATATCTTGTATAAATAACCAAAAAAAAGGGGCTAAATGTATGGATAAATTTTTTATACTTTGTCAGTGTAGATTCTAACTGGTATAAATGCTTGTCACACATGTAAAATTTATTAAAATAATGTGTCTTACATTTAGACCCGTCAATATATTCTATATGCTAACATAATAGAAAAGATTAACCATAAATGTATGCTACTTACCCTAACAAAGCAGTCATGAAAGTGCATTCGGAGCAAAGCAGCTGTTATTGAACGATCCGTGCGAAACCGCTTTTGCACAACTTGTTTAACAATCGACTCTGCTCGTGGACATGAAGAACTATAGAAACCAACTCGAAGCTGGGCAGAGGAGAGCTCAAAAATAGTAAAAGAGAGTAAAAAAAAGATGATCTTCATCTCCATTACGTTTAACCAAACTGAACAAGCTTAGCCAATTTTGAGGATGCAAAATGTCCAAATCCATTGAGGGGTATATATAGTGCATATGGATTGAGAAAATAGACATGGATAGACGTTAGCCACCGTGCATATTGTCAAACTACGTGAAGGATCGTTGACTTTCAAGCATATTTTAGCTGCTTACTTTTCTAAAGGATTATAGTCTGTGAAAGCAAATTGCTGACTTCTTATAAAATACTACTAGTTGTTTTGGCGATGATATGGAGTCGATCAATATTATAAGTGCATTTGGTTAAGAACAGCTTGCCAAAATTGGTTGTGGCCATCAAATCATGATCTGGCTGAGTTAATTCCTAAAGTTAATTGGTGATGATCTGAAGTAGATTTCCCTGATTCTTTAGTTATAGAAGTTGTTTTCCTTTTAACTTTTTACACAGTCCATAGTGAATATTTCCCAAGACACTAAGAAAAATGGGTTGAACTATCCTCGAATATTGTGGAATGGCCAGCTAAAAAAAGTAAGTCTTGATAGTTTTTAGAATAAAACTCCGTCTATGATATATAAAATGAAGGTATTCACCTAATATATTTGTGTGCGTACACACACACACAGAGCAAAACAGAGACACTTCCCAGCTGTTTGAAGATTGTGTGATATGAGACACAATTATTTTGCTTTTTCCATCTAATTACATGAACAAATTCACACTTGCAAAGATCATCAGCCTTCAATCAATCACATTTGCCAATAATCTTCAAACCAGGAATAAAGTAGGTTGATTATAAAGGAATAATCCGGTAGGAGGTTTTAATTTAAACAAAAAGGCACACGAGTACCACTTCGTAGTTGTGATATATCATTTATCAAATTAGAGACAGAATCATCAATCAAAAGGATTTTGGGTATCTGATTTCTCAGCTGTATTCGATAATTGATTTGGTCCAACTTTAGATGACAACGTTAATTGTGCAACCATGAGACCAATACTTTTTTGCCCGACAAAAGGTTACTTTAGTTTTTTGTAGTGTAAAACATTTATTGACCTTCTAAACATTGTATATACACTATCACACGATTAAATACATAATATATGTGTAAAAATTAAATTTAAATCAATTATTATACATCAAATAATGATAGTATATACTATCAATGTATATAAAATTAATACAAAAAATAACTCACAACTATGACTTTCCTTTTTATCCTTTTAAGAACTTCTTCGCAACTTCCTTCTGTGAATAAGCTTACAAAAGGTTCAAGCAAATGAAACTTGAATAGTCTTCTGTACTTTCAATGTTCTAAATTTGCATATTGGAAATGATTGACCCGATAAAAAATGCTGGAACAAGCTTGCAAATTAATTATCCCATCGTACCGTAGTTGAGCTTGCCCAACTGTTTCGGTTGACCCTCTTATTTTATTTGGTTTCAGAATTGGTACTTTTTTTTTTTTTTTTTGGTCTTTATTAGTTATCCACTTCGTCAACAACAGAATAATCCACCCAGAGGATGTGTTAGATTGTTCAACTTGGAATTATGTAAAGAATAAACTGACATAATCACTTCTTCTACCAAACTGAGATGGTGGATTCCATAAGTGGTTCAAGGCATAATATAAGTAAAAGTTCTTTGATACTATTTTAAATTTGTCAATCTCTCATTTATGTAATTTCTAGGCAAAGTTAGACAAATTGTAAAGGAGGTTTTCGGAATCTATAAGCAAGGTCCAAGTTTGGCAAATTCATAAATGGGAAATAGGCACTCTTTATTGAGTTAGATTGACATTATATTTGTTGCTAAATATGGATGCATGTGCAAGTCAGCCCATACAAAGTGAAAGAATATATGAGAATATTTGCCTCACCACCAAATGAAGTAGGATATATTAAGGGGATAATTTCAGAAACCTCCATTGAGGTTTTTGACATTTCATTTAGCTCTCTCGAAATTTTAAAAATTACACATACCTCCTTGTCATTTAAAATGACAATACTACCCTTAAATATTTTAATGAATTCCCTTATTGGTATGCTTATACTTAGAATGACTTTTAAAATAATTTTTTCATTCTTTTTCCTTCTTATTTATTTTTTTATAATTTTTTGCCAATAAAACTGTAGAATTACCACAATTACCCTAGTTTCTATTGTAACCAAATGCCAAACTAGTGATTTTGTTGATGAGTTAATTTTATATGCAATCAAATATTTTTGCTAAGCTTTTTTCTATTTTTGTTATTAAAATTAATAATAAATAAAAAAGAAATAGCCCGAAACCACTACTAAATTATGATAATCCCACTATTTAAAAAATTCATAAACTCTAAAATGAATTATTTCAACATTTTCTTTTTTACCTTATAAATCCAAATCCATAATAAAATACCATTAAAAGTATCCTATTATAGTGATAAAATTATTATTATAGTCATTTATCAAATAGTATGTATGGACATGAAGAATTTGGCACATTTTTCTTATAATTATACTAGATAATCTTATAATTGTATGGGAAAGTAAATTAAAACTCATTACACAAGGGCATTTTTGGATATTCATTTAAAAAATTTGACCAAGTCAATATTATTTTAAGATTTTGTTACTAAAACTATCAAATTAAGGAAGGTAGTTGTATTTTTTCAAATTTTAGGGGAGTTCAGTGAAATTATCAGAAACCTCAAGGGAGGTTTGTGAAATTATCCCTATATAAAGAGTCAAAAATCTTCCTTTTATCTCCCACCACCTTCGCCAAATCCGAAAACCCCTAAATATGAATTCCCAAATCCCACACGTAAATCTCCAAACGTCGCAGCTAAATCTCTAATCTCCGGTGCCGTCATCTAAAGTTTACTGTGCATATCCTGAGATTTGGAGAGGGTGAAGATATGATATGAAAATCATCACGCACAATCACTACCATCCTAGCAGTATCTCTTTGGAGCGCACACAGATGAATCCAGCGTTATCCCATCTAATATCTAATGGCTTCCACAATCATCCATGACATCTTTCAATGACAGCATGCAAGAATCCAGCGTTATCATATATAAATTTATTGACTTCCACAATTTATATCTCAAATTATCCAAGGTTCATTAAGTAAACTTTCACCGTCATGTGTAGGGTATGATTTAATATGAAATCGTTTACTCCAAATTATGGGACAGACACTTCTAAGAATCCATTTAATCATATGCACAAGATGTAATATTGATGTAACCATGCGCCAATTGGTTCTAGTTATGTGCACACATACAAATATGAAAAATATACATACCACTTAACCATGCAATCATGTAGTAAAAGAGTCAAGTGAATGATTATTATTATTATTTTTTTTACTGCTATAATTCTACCTTCATTGCCTTTTGGTGAGTCCAAATTGTCAAAAGGTAATTCTGAAAGATACAACTTATCCTGACGATGACTAATATGCTTCCAGTTCAATGGTTACGAAAACATGGTTAGGAGTACATAAGTGTATCTCTATTTGGACCATAACTAGTATCTGACCAACCAAAAAAAAAAAAAAAAGAGCTGCAGGCCATAATCCTCAAATTGTCAACCTCTTTTCAGTACTCCAGAAAACTTGCAAATGAAGCAAAGCCCACTCTTTACTCTTGCTCCATTTCTTCAGGACCATCATTCTTATTTTCAGATTTAGCCTTTCCAGGTTGATCATTGGTTTTTTCTTCACTATCAGTAACCATTTTGTCCTCTCTGGCATTTTCACTTTTACCTGCATCATCAATCTCTCCAATGTTTAAATCAGCAGGAAGTTGGCCAGTTTTCTGTGCCTGTTCAAGCCTTGCCACCTCTTCCAGAGTTTGGGAATCCACAATTGCAGCCTTAATAGCTAAAATTTGTTCTTGTGTAGGAGCAACTGCTTTAGGTGCTTGCTCCTCCTTTGGAACCTCTGGGGTGCTATTCTATGCATGTGCAGTGCATAATTAATATTATTTTACCATGTTTCTCTCTCACTTATTTTAGAGTATGAAATACGTGTCAACTCTAAAGTAATTAATTATTTTCTTATTATTGAAATGTAACTCTTAATGAGTAAATATTTTTTTCCCTCTCAATGAATAAATATTTGATACACCAATTTAAGATCTTTCCACTTAGTATATATTAAGATTTTTGGAGTTATATTTCAACAAATGGTGATTAATAAGATAACTCTTCTACTATTAGAGGTGATGAATCCTTGAAAATTATTTACTTTCTTTCCATGTTGCATGTTATATCCAATATCTAATGACATGATTGCCCATTTATACAGAAAATTAAAGTATAACAATTCATATTCAACATATTATGATAATTTTAAGTAAGAGGATCACCTATACATACGCTATATTGAGATTTATTATTGACATACAAATAGTTATCCATGTGATAATCTCTTAGTAGATCTATCCAGTAAACTTGATTATAATATCAAGAACTCACACAACTAAATTTGATATCTCTATAACATTGGTAAGAAAGAACTACTATTTCCTTTAAAAAGAAGAAACATAGTATGTGCTATTCCATCAGTATTAATAGTATCTTATCTATTAATACTACGATTAGAGATTATTAAGAATAAATCCTAGTTAATGTTTCTCATTATTGTAACATTTTATGACTACATTAAGTTAGGTATTATTTACTTTAAGGACTTTATATAATTAATTAAATAAAACAACAATTAGTAAGATAAAAATACCAATTATGAAATATAAATTGTTAAACTACAATGATAAACCCTAATTTTAGGGTATACACACTAACAGTAGTTGATACACACTAACATTAGTTGCATTCTATTAGAAACCTTAAAACACCTACACCCCATCTGGGGTCGCACTAGTTCCCATTTCACTCCATTTCTAGATAAAAGGCTCATTTAAACTTTTTTACACTAAAGTGCTACATACTTCCATTGCACTTGTTGTTGACTTTTGGCCTAACTTTCTAATCCCACGTCCGTTGATTAGAATTGAAGGGAAGTGTTTGTTAGTTATAAATAAACACTCTCACTTCTCAATTAATCACACCAAAAGAGACACCAAAATTTGTATTCTTTCTTCTTCCAAAATTATTAAGAGCGGGTCGCTTAGGCGTACTCGAGATTAGGCAAAATTGGCCGAACTTTGTTATCAATTTTTGGGTGCGTTTTTCCTTATCTCTTTTATTTATTACGCATTTATTTGGTAGTTTCTTTTTAATTGTAGTATAGTATTCAATATATTTGTCGGGTTTATTTGTAGTGTTTTATAGGTTTATTTGGGTGTATTTTTCTTATTCGTGTGTACGTACTGTTTATGTGTATACGAGTCTGATTGTGATAATACACCGTGCACGTAAATTCTGCCATAGGAGACTGGATTTTAAGTGGGACCACTTGTGACCCCTCCAACCTTTCCTGAGAATTTACTTGGAATGGTAATTCTGTCTAAGGAGATTGTTTTAATGATCGTTCTTGAGAATTACTGAATCGGTTTAAATCACTAGTTGAATTTTTGAGTGGGAAATTACCCGACAAGTGGTATCAGAGTCGAAGGTTCGTCCTTTGACCTATTTGTAATTTTTATATTGAATACTATTATTTGAGACTATAATGGCATCAGAGGATTCCACGTCAAGAATTACATCTGGGGCATTGGCTTTCTCATCCACATGGTCGAGGACTCCAATGTCAAGTTTGAAGCTGGTGGTGAAGATATTTGATGGTGCTGGCCATTTCGACATGTGGCAAGGCGAGGTCATAGACTCCCTTTTCCAATAGGGTCTTGACATTGCCATTGAAGAAAAGAAACCAGATGACATAGAAGAGAAGGAGTGGAGTACCATAAATCAGTTGGCATGCGAAATTATTCGATCGTGTTTGTCCAGAGAGCAAAAGTATGCTTTCAAGAACGAGACTTCTGCATGGAAGTTGTGGAGGGCATTGGAGGAGAAATTTCTGAAGAAGAGTGGTCAGAATAAACTCCTTATGAAGAAAAGATTATTCCGATTCGATTATCAACCAGGCATTACTATGAATGAACACATCACTATATTTAATCAGTTAGTAGCAGATCTGTTAAATTTAGATGTGAAATTTGAAGTTAAAAATTTGGCTTTGATGTTGTTGTCATTCCTTCCTGATGAATTTGAACATTTGGAAACTACGCTACTTCATGGGAAGGAGGATGTGTCTTTAGGTGCTGTATGTTCTACTGTGTATAGTCATGAATTGAGAAATAGGATAAAATGAAAAATAAAATAGCTACAGCAGATGAAGCGTTAGTGGCAAGAGGTCGTCAACAAAGCCAATCAAAGGGGAGAAGAGGAATGTCCAAATCGAAAAACAGAGTTGCCAAAGACGAGTGTGCTTTCTGTCATGAGAAAGGGCACTGGAAGAAAGCTGTTCAAAGTTGAAAAAGAAAAGGAAAGCTCTGCAAGATGTAAATGTTGCAAAGTGTAAAAGTGATGCGGAATCAGATTTCTCTGTTGCTATATCACCTTCAACATCCCATCCAGATGAGTGAATTTTGGATTTAGGTAGACATATCAATGGGTAGGGTTTGGGTTGGATTCCTTTGATCCAAATCCAGACCATTTAATTTAGTTAGACCCAAACCCAGATCCAAACCCTTTTGGCTCTGAAAAAGTAAATCCATACCCAAACCTTCATGGATCTGAGTATTCAATGGGTATCCATTGGTATTTTCTGAATATACTAAAGTAAAAATACATTAAAAATGTAGAGAGTTCATAAATAATATAAATACCATCTAATTTTTGTTTTCAAATAATAAAATAACATTCAACAAGTTGAATGCAATATTATGAACTTAAAGAAAGAACTATTATTGACTACTTGTGTATATTTTCAAAGATTTAACTACTTTTATATCCAATCTTTCATTTGTTTGCTTTTACCTTTTCTCCTTTTCTTGAAAAAGTCTGCACCAATTACAATGCCAACTAGGATTAGTTTTTAAAAAAGAAAACAATCATAACATATATAAATATTCAACCTTATTAAAAAAAATGTAATTTTGTACCTCTTTTTCTTATTTAAATCTCGATATTGGTAGATGTCTCGCAATCGAGCCCTAAAATAGTGAATGAGATAAAATTCATTTGACAAAGAATCGATAGCAAATAAATAATAGAATAAAAATATCTATAAATACTTACTCATTTTTTTTTATTCAATCCAATCATCAGTAGTCACTAATGCTTCAACCACATCTGGAAGTAATTTGGCACGAGTCTCATCAATCACTCTACCACCAACACTAAATGCAGATTTTGATGCAACTGTAGTGGCCGGAACAGCCAATATATCACGTGCCATTTTTGCCAAAATAGGAAATTTTGGACAATTAGCTTTCCACCATTCTAAAATATCAAAATTGTCCTTTCTTGGAAACTTTTGCTCTTCCAAGTCTTGATCCAACTCTAATTTTTGATTTGCATGAAGGCTAGACGAGCGAGACTTGAAGTACCATTTATCAAGTCACTCAATGCATCGTTACTTGAACTACTTTTCTCAACACTTTCACTGTTCCACAGATCTAATGATGGTAAAAGTTCACCTCCATAATCCATATACAAATTAACAAAAGTACTACGAACCCGTTGAATATATTTTTCAGCATTATGTCCATGAATTTGTCTATAATAATACTCCACCAAATCCATCTTAAACCTTGGATCAAGCACTACAGCTATTGCCAGCACCAAACTACACTCTTCCCAATATTTTTCAAACTTCTCTTTCATTGGACCAGCCATATGTCTAAGAAAGTCATGTTCACTTTGTTCCCATTTCATCAATTGAAGTTGAATGCTACAAATATTAGGAAAAAACACATTCGCTGTTGGAAATTTGGTACCACTAAAATGACGAGTTGCATTATAAAAGTGTTTTAGACAACCATGAATAACAGCAGCAACTTCCCACTCCTTTTGAGATGGATTATAATTATAGTTCTTGTACATTTGGTCTAAACGATCAAAAGCTTCCCTTAGTGGTAATGCAGTATCAAGCATTGTGAAGGTAGAATCCGACCTATTTTGAACATCCAAATCCACTTTCCTTTTACCTTTCAACTTGCATTGGTTAATTGCATTTTCAAATTTTTGATTTGCATAAGCAGACTTTTTCAAGTATTTTACTGTTCCTCGAATCTTGCCAAGTAGTCCTCCAATTTCAGCCAATCCATCCTGAACAATCAAATTTAATATATGTGCACTACATCGAACATGCAGTAGTTCCCCTCCCAAAGGTAGTAGAGACTTGTCAACAAGCCAAGATTTCAAGTATTTGACCATAGAGTCATTTGAAGTTGCATTGTCAACTACTACTGAAAAAATCTTCTTGTCCAAATTCCACTCCATTATCAAATCAAAGATGAATTTAAACAATGTTTCACCATCATGGGGATATGCAATGGATTTATATGCAATAATTTTTTTCTTCAATTCCCAATCCTCAGTTATATAATGTGCAGTCAAGCAACAATACCCAATATTTGAGTGGTTTGATGTCCAAATATCAGTAGTACAAGTAACTTTAGAAGAGATGTCATCCAAGTGGTTGTACAACCCTTTCTTTTCTTCTTTATGCAAATTAATCACATCTGACCTTAAAGTATTTTGACTGACAACCTTGAAATTTGGGTTTAAACCATTGCAAAATATCTCAAAAAATTCATGTTCACACATATTAAATGGATAATTATGCTTAATTATCATCGTGGCCATGTCTCTTCTACTTGTTTCTTGATCAAATCTGTAAGGCTTAAGTTTTACAGTCCCATCAGTAACATTCTTTGCTGCAAAAAGTAACGATTTGTTTTTTTTCTCTTCCTAGCAAAACAGTTTTCAATATGCTTTTTCAAGTGGCTAGTACCAGAAGTAGTTTTTGCTTCAAATTTTTTCTTACAATGCCTGCATGTTGCAACATCATTACTTCTATCGAAATCATCCCATACCTTTGAAATTAATTTTTTCTTCCCTTCAACAGGTGTGTGTTTTTCTTCATCTCCCAAGATGACCACTCTATCTTTATCTCCAATATTAAGAGTGGGATCCGTTGCCATTTTCTAGAAAACAGAAATAGATTGGTTATTAACATGATTCAATGCCTATAAAGGTAATATACCTTAATTTGCAAGTACTATGAATAAAGTAATCAGTAGATGACTATTATTTCATAAAGCAATCAACGAACCAATGCTTTATAATATCATGAATTTATTATTACTTTAACATATCATG